CACACACACACACACACATATATATATATATATATATATATATATATAAAAAAGAGGAAGAAACTCTATATCAAGCCACTAAAACAGATGTTTCAAAAATATTAAACTACTGGTATGAATTCATCAGTTTCAGAAAACAAGTAATGACAAAACTCTACTAAATTGTCCTATAGGTAACACACACATTATCGAAATGAAAAATAAGTTTAATGAAGTAGAAAAATCCTTTCCCTTTGACAAAACATGAAACTAAGACTAGGGAGGCAGGAGCCCATTACAGATAAAATCAATAAATAAAAGAGGACGAATACATAAATAACCATCAGTCTAAACTAAGCTGCTACAGCTAACTAAGCAAGCACAAAGATAACTGTTTTGATGGTTTCACTAGTGTTATGATTAATTGTAATAAAAATGGGATAGGACAAGTACAGAAAAAATATTACAACATTACATTAATAGATTTTATTTTTTTGTTTATGGAGAAAAATAATTAAAACTGAAATCTCTAGGTGAGGATTAACAATCCAAATGACAAAAAAATTTATAATTAATATTTTACGGAGTTGTAATTTACAAACCCTGAGTATCACTTAGAGAAGTAAAACATGTACCATAAACTGTACCACTAATCTAGAGTGTTTTTTTAACCCATCAAACATGTCAAACGTTTCTTTTACAAAACTTAAATCTTTCATGTTTTTGCTTACAAGTTCTTTTAATTTAAATAATTCGGATATTTGATGTACTTACCTCACATAGCACTTGCGTGGAGAACGAGATCTAGATCTTCGGTAAAATCTACGGTACCCCCAATGTTGAGATTGAAAATGTGACCTCGACTTATGATAGCGGGAGTTTCTTGACCTGGAGCATCTCCTTCTGTACTTCACAGGTGATGGAGAACGACTTCTGTTCCTGCTTGAGTAGCTGCTGCTTCGACTTCGGGAATGACTCCATGATCTACTACATCTACTATTAACTGAGGAATGAGATGGTGAACGAGAAGATTGTGGCCGATTTTTCTGGTGTCTTCTGTTTACTGGGGATGTAGAAGAGCTAGAACTTCTATTATTAGATTTTCTCCTGGACCTGGATCTTGACCTTGATCTAACAGGCTTACCAACAGATGTACGTTTTTGACAACTGCTATCTTTCTTTGTGTAAACACTGGTACCATCTGCTTCTTTTTCTATTTGAACACTGTTGTCACCGGGAAGTTCAGAGAGAGATTCCTCCCCTGTCTTTTTACAAACACTGTCATGTGAAACATCTTTTAAGCAAACAGGTAATTTCTCACACATCTTAGTTGTATCAGGTTGGTTTGGGATCAAACTTTCATTTTCTATTTCAGAAGTCTTCTGAAAAGGTCTAACTACTTGTACCGAAGGTTCAGTAGAACCTTTCACTGTACTACCAAAACTGTTTTTTGGAGGAGATAATTGAATTAAATAGTCTGGGATTTTAGAAACACCACAATAATCATGATCCAAAGCATTATAGAAGCTAACAGGATTTTGACTATCAGATGAAGGTCCTCTAACTTCTGTCACAGCAGGTTGCTGATGTTTTGACTGAGAATTAGGCCCTTTATTTGATTTCTTACTTTGTACAGCATCTTCTGGTTTTATGAGCACAATACCTTTCTTGTTTAGTGTCGATGATTTAATTCTATCGATTATGGAGGAGGGAGAAGAATCTGAAAATGTTATAATATGTATGCTTAATTTTTTATACACAGAAAACTGTATAATAATATCATTAATATAAACTTTGGTAAATGAAAAACAAAATTCCATAAACTTTACAATTAATGTCACATTTGAAAGGCTTACGTTAGGAAGTCATCCATTAAACTGATAAACCTATCGAAAAAACACATGATCGTAAAAATGTACAATCGAAGCTTACTAATACACCATACACCAGGATAATAATCTACATGTATGTACAACTCCTACATGCATCAAACATGTTTGTAATTCTATGTTTTATTTGATGTATATGTTTTCTTATGAATATCATATACTAATCATTTTTTCCAGTGCATGCACAACTAAAATCAAAAGTTAGGAGCCATATATCCCAAAGATGGTCTCACTGTAGTAATGCATTTCTGATGTTTCTAAAGAAATGTCATTTTAATCTGTATTTATGGCAACAATACCCAGGCTATCTGCTGCCATCCCTACTTTTGAACTACTGACCAGAGAAAGAAAAAAAATGCAAGTTAGATCTAATACAACATATTTACCACAATTAGCTAATAATTCAATCATGTTGTAGCATTACCAAAACAATCTAATGTAGTAGTTGTTATACTAAGAAACAAATTTCATTCTGACCACTGCACCGTATCTAAAAACTTACAGAGTAATTATGTGTTCAGGATTTGGAGCAGAAAATTTTGTGAGTTCTGAGAATTGACAAATCTTTCCCTCTAACTTTTCCCATACACTAATGATCATCACCAGTAGCATACTTGTCAACCAAGTCACTAAGTAGGTGTATTAAAAACATCACTCAAGTATGAGATGAAACAAAAAAGTGCCATTATTTTTTTACTTTTCTTTACTAGTTCCATTTTGACCAAAACAAATGGTAGATTTCCAAACCTAACACAGTACTCTTTCGGCTCCTCCCAACTAATTTTAGTCAGAAGTGTGGATGAGAAAATCGATGGAAATATTTCTTCTCCAATTCAGTTATTGTTGGCTTGTCTAAATTTTTTACCTTCTCTAGATTCTTACATAAAATAAAAGGTTCCTGTATTTGTAGATTGAATAATAAAAGTAACTAACGAAAGAAGAACAGGATTTTAGAATCTTATTCAATGGGTAACTTGTTCTGCTCAGTAACAGTGACAAATTCAGTGAGCCAAATCAGTAACATTCCTGTTTGGTAAAATCAACCTGTATGTGTGTACATACCTAGCAACAAATCAGTATTGGTTTCTTTCAATTTATATTAGATTTCACAGAAAAAGCTATACACAAAGATGGATCCTTCATGATATTATACACTAATTAATACTTCACAAGGAATGTATCTAAAGAAAGTTTTATTGTTCTTTTAGTGGTTTAAGGAACCTCAGAAATAGTTTGCACTTAAATAGGTATGCATCTGGTAGTCAGTTATCAAGTGATTTTAAACTATCTCAGGCTACAGAGAGTCAGTTTTTCTGATCAGATATATTTTCTTTACTACAGAAAGGTGTTATTAGCTTATTTTTACCAGGAAAAATTCATCAACAAAGGAAGAAAAACAAACAAACACTTCAATGTTATACTATGGTGATTACAAGATTTACTTTTATTAATGTAATTTTAAAAGAATGCACTAATTAGCACCTCTCTTCTGGCATAAAGTATATTAAGCAGCAGTAGAATATGCAACTTTAATCAAACAAAAGTAACGGTGTATTTTTAAGAGAAAACTGTTTCATTTCATCACTGAGAAAATCTCAAACATATAAAAAGAGACTGGAAATGAAAGGAGGTGACAGAAATTTGTGCACAAGAAAAATTTACACCTTTGAAGAAAGTTCTTCGGGAGAACTCAGTGCTCTGTGGTAGATTTTGAATGTTGTGGGTTTAAAGTTGAGCTGAAGTAAAATGGGTTGATTCATATAATTGTATCATAAGAAACACTGGTACTTTGCCTAAACAAAATAATGGAAAACATTGCAACTCCCAGGTAGAAACAGATACTTTTATTTACCAATCACAAGAAAGAAAGGAGATAGAAAAATTTTGTACCTGATGATGACAAACCCTGTCAAAACATTGTACATTTGCTGTTATGTTAAACTTATATTAAAGGTTTTCTTCATTACCCATTCAAGCCGTCTTCAAGCATTACTACTATTCATTGGTAAAGAGCAACCCAAACGTTGGCAGTGGGTGGTGTTGACCATCTGCCTTCCCTCTAGTCCACCACTTCAAAATTAGGGATGGCTAGCACATATAGTCTTGGTGTTGACCATCTGCCTTCCCTCTAGTCTACCATTTCAAAATTAGGAATGGCTATCACAGATAGTCTTCATGTGGCTTTGCACAAAATTAAAATCCAAATATACTGTAGTTTCTCAAAAACTTTACTATACATGATGGAAATAGATATAATTTTTTTTTGGGGGGGGGGGCATAGGGAGAACCTGGTCTCGTTTGATACCCAGCTCAAGCCAAATCTGAGTGACTGGGTACCTGGACCTAGTATCGGCCAAAGTTTATACCCGTGCATCCCTAGTTATGACCATTTCATTCTCACTAGCAGGCTATTTCAAAACAAGAAATGGTTATGACCATGTCATTCTCCTTAGCAGGTTATTACATAACAAACAATGGTTATGACCACGTGATTCTCCCTACCAGGTTATTACATAACAAACAATGGTTATGACCATGTCATTCTCCATAACAGGTTATTACATAACAAACAATGGTTATGACCACGTGATTCTCCCTACCAGGTTATTACATAACAAACAATGGTTATGACCATGTCATTCTCCATAACAGGTTATTACATAACAAACAATGGTTATGACCATGTCATTCTCCTTAGAAGGTTATTACACAACAAAAAATGGTTATGACCATGTCATTCTCCATAACAGGTTATTACATAACATGCAATGGTTATGACCATGTCATTCTCCATAACAGGTTATTATATAATGAACAATTGCGATGGCCAGCTGATAATCTATAATAGGTTATTATATAATGACTAAAAGGAATTATAATGATAAACAGGTCATCTTTTTTTAGTAGTTTATCAGATGAGAAACAAGGTTGGTGATCAGGAAATCCACAGTACTACACTATATAATCAAAACTTATATTAAGTTCTTCTGACAGGAAGTAGCAGAAAATCCTGCAAGGCTGATACATATCTTTTCAAATGCATGAGTATGTAAAGGAAAAACAGGAGCACCATAGAGAAAGAGATTTTATCCAGAATGTCATTTTTGAAAGTCAGTGAAAGTAAAGTCAATCTAAGTCTGAAGGAGGCATTACACAACTGAACTTATTGCCATTTCATCAAAGGAAAAATTCCTCTGCGGTAAAAAGAGATGTGGATGGAAAAAATGCAAAGATATTATAAATGAAGTTGTAAACCTCAACTGCAGGGAAAATATCCCCCCCCCCCAATACATTCATATGCACTGAATATTTGTTGTATTGACTACATTTTCCAGAGTTGAAATAATAAAGAAATACATTTTCTTAAAACAAACTAAAGTACTGATAACCAATGAAGGAAGAACTACGGAGGCTCGGTCAGAATGAAGGAAGAACTACCGAGACTCGGTCAGAATGAAATGAGCTTGCAACACCAGCAATATAAAAAAACTGAAGCTAAACCAATACATTAAGAAATGAACAGAGATTCCAAATATTACTGGAAATAATACAGCTATAAGCCTGGAGTCAAGAAAACAAAATGAAACAGGAGTTATTGTAAAAAAAAATTGAGTGATTATTAACCACTGCTCATAACTAAAACATTCTGCTATAAAAATCCCACCTTTACAGATACACGTTATCAAACAATAGACTTTGATATTTCAATTTCAGTTTATGTATTATCATGCCTAGTCTTTCTTCAACTAGCTTACCTCTGGACATGATTTTTCTTGAAGATGGTGAAGCTGTATCACTATAGGCTTCAACATCACTGGAAAACAAAGTGCAAAAACTATTGTGAAGCAATGAAAACAACAAACTCTAAATATTAATATTTTTAAGAAATTAATTACAAATCAATATATATAATAATTTTTTTCTGATGATTTTAATCTTCACATGAATAAATCGATAAAGCAACATTTCCTTTTGCACATCAACTTTGAAATTTAGTAGAAAATACAAGCAAGAATTTAAAAGCACAAGTTTAATCTAATCATTATTAGTATCAGGAAAATTACTTAATATAGCTATATAATTTAACTATAAAAATACAATATAAAATTCTCATCTTTAAATTGTTTCTCAGGTTTCAGAAATTATTATAAAAACTGAAATGCTAAGCCTAATACTGACTGATGGAAAAAGAAAAAGTGGTTTTTTATGCCATAAATTTTAATAAGGATGTTTAACAAACCAACACCCTGAAAAAATAAAAGGTGGGTAGATTTGATTAGCACGTATGCTAATCAGAAACTGCAAAATTTGAAATTTATATAACTTCTATTCATTAAACACTCTTGGTTCATAAATAACTTATTGCTAGTGTTAGGAACTAATTGAAATGTTAAGATCAATGACTGATTCACCATAAACAATTAATGATTGGTTATAATTGTTTAGCAAATTAGTGTGTTTTTTTGGAAATTTTTTTGTATCTCTATATATTTTACTGTCCAGGGTACATTCATAGCAAAGAAACATGAAAAATTCATGGCTTAAAATATCTACTTACAATCATCAACTTTTACTTTACGATTTTCAAATGATATGCTTATTCCAGTTTCATTTCAGATAGAATAAATTCTGAGAACTGTTTGAGGCTTTTAACTGTCTAACAAAATCAGAGTTTGGCTGGGTTTACTGTAAACCAATAGGCCCATTTTAGTTACCTCTGATAATTCTTGCAGTGAAGTTCAGAAGAAAAGGATGTAACAGGAACACAAAAATAAAATATCAATGAATGATATTTTAATCAATTAGGAAAATCTTACACTCTAACAACCAATCTTCAATTATTCTGATTAATCATTTCACAACTAATCACTGCTAATTGTGAACAAGTCAATAAGAAATTAAAGAATTAAAAAAAAACTTACTTTCCTCAAATATTTCAGATTTTGTATTTGTCATAATGGTTAACCAAACAGATATGGCATTAGAAATAAATCTTCACTGGTTGTATTTTGGAAGAAAAATAAATTAATTTACAAATGTTTCTTAGTTTGTTTTGGTTGTTTTTATAGCAAAGCCATATTTGGCCATCCTCCGTGTCCACCACAGAGAATTGAACCCCAGATTTTGGCTTTGTAAGTTCATAAACCCACTGCTATCCCACTGAGCGAACGAGTATTTCTTATACTTATTTTAGCACACAGCATAGTAGTATATGAATATAGACAAACAGTTACTATAAACTCAAAGATGTTCAAACCATGTGTCTGTAAAGTACATTTTAAACTGAAATTGGAAAGATACTTACGCTATAGGCACAATCTGAGCATGTTGTAAGGAACTGTTAATATCTAAAAATAAAGAAAATCATAGTAATATATAAACATAATCCATTTTCACAATTAAATATTTAAAATTTCGAAAAACATGTTTGTATAGAAAACTTAAATTAAGCAACATTGGTATAAAACTTTACAATCTAAAAACAGTTATTACCCCATAACATGTATGACTAGAGTTTATAACAAACAATTGTAACTTCCACGACCTCAACATTTATATTTTTCTACATATAAGATGATTTTATAGGTTAGCTAAAATTATGTCTATGAAAGATTAATTATACATACATCAATTTTTCAGTATAAGTTTGAGTATGTGAATCAAACTATAAAAAAATCTTAATATAAAAAAGTTTGTTTAGTATTAGCATAAAGTCTTTCACAGCACAAATCTCTATGAGATAACCATTGCCATAGGGACTAACTTATAAAACTTTAACCCTTTCCATACTGGTCGGGGTTGGAGCTCATGTCATCACGTTTTGTAGACTTACATTCAAAATTTTATTACACAACTATTTTATAAATATATGTCCATAAATATGAAATCAAATTGTAGTTTGTAATTTCTTAATTCAAAATTAAATGTTAAAAAAATGCTAAATATCAATTTTTTCTGTGTCACATGAACACATCTTCTTCTGTGTTTGCTCAGATTGTATTGTGTGCATCAAAAAAAATGAAGTCTACATATCTTAACAAATAAAAACTCAAATCACCAATAAAAAGCTAAAATAAGAACCTCCCAACTTTTCTCTTTGATGAAATATCATTACATTTAGCAAACCCACCACAGCAGCTCTACCCTTCTTCCTCTTTTGAAAATGCTTGTTTACATGTTCATAACCAATCAAAAGTATAAATTGAACTATGTAATTCTGTCAGTCTTCCTAAAGTACTTACTGTTGCGTAGTACTTACATGATAGTTTGTGTAGGAAAGCTTTGTAATAATCATTGATAATCTGCAAAAGTTCTTAAAAATACATGTACACTATAGTATGAGTCTCATGGTTACTTTGGTGGTTATGTGCTGGGTGCAATACATCCAACTCTGTAGTCAAGAGTTAAATAGTGCAAGATTTCTAATATGGATCCTGGATTACAAGAACCTGATGGCAATTTGCATTATGAACATAAGACTAATAAATCAGCCACATTTCTATTTTGAAAAAAAGAAGAAAAAAAAAGCACCCCTGAAGATGTTTTCACTCAAGTACTCAGGCAGTTTTGTAACTGCATTTTTTAAACAAAAAAGTGCTTATATATTTTATAAAGTATCCCTAGGAATTTTTTTTCCTTTTAATGAAACAATGAAGCAGATGCAATTTAACTGAACTTTATACACGAAAGATGATTAATTTATTTCTCCAACAGTAATCATCTCATGAGAAATGGGCTAAGGATATGGGTCCTCCTATAATCATATAAAACTCAACGTTCTAAATGACAATGAATACGAAAAGTATCTTTCTAATTTGTCTGACCACTTATTAGTCAGCTAGCTTTACCAACATACAATAACCTTGAGAAGTTTTAGTATTACTAGTATTCCATTTTGGCTATTTGTTTATTTGCAGTGTATATATTTGAGCTGTACATGTATACTTATACCAAAAATGTGTTTAGCAAGATGCCTGAGGACAACTAGAGAATTGATAGGTTTAACATTAGTGCAAAACAGAATGAAATGTCACATAGCACTTAGGAAATCACTCTTAGAAAACCACAGAAACTTTACTAATCATGATAAAATAAACATTCTAATTATTTTAATAGTAACAGCAAATTATAAATAAGCCATTTAACCCTCTGGATGTTGACTGGTAAAAGTGTGTATATTACGACATTTTTTACGGTTACATTCAAAATTTAAACTACTTTAATATCAATGAATTTGACAACAAAGCACAGTTAATAAATCAAATATTAATGTTTTAATTTCAAAAAGAAGTATTTAAATAAATTTTCAATTGTCACTTTTCTGTATCACGATACATGTTCACTTTAAATTGCACATTATCGATATTCTTTCCATCATTATTTGAGCTTCTGATTTTTAATGAAAATTACAAATTTATAATATAGATAATGCTAGAATATTATCTATCTTTCCAATCATCTTGCCTTACTTAGATATAAACCAGAAAGTCCAACACACATACCATGCCCTCCTATTAAATAGTATCTTTTGAAAAATATCAGTAATTCTCTCCGACATTTGCTATAACTTTATTTATAACCAATTGAAAAGGTTTTAATTTACTGACTTATGCAGAAGGCTAGCTAATTTTATTTGGCCTTCAGATTGAAAGTTACTATTACCATGATCAGCTCAACCATTTAAAGGAATTATTTTAAAGCACTTACAGCTTAGTTAAATTATAATAGTTAGAGGACAGTGTACTCTTTATGCACATTATTATTTTGTGTTCTAAATTTAATATTTAAAAAAAAATTAGTAAAAACAATAATTAGCACAAATTAGGGTTAAATTTTATTAATATTTTGATTTGAATTGGAAAACAAAATACAAGACCCATATGAAGTACTAAATTTCATGTTTTTAAGTATTTTGTTTTATTTATTGGTATCAAAGCAACTAAAATGCAAAAATCAGAAAGTTATTAGGACAGATAAGAAAACATAAGTGGAAAAAAGTTAAATAAAAACATTTCTTAAGCAAGGTATGCACACAAAAAGCTAGTACATGATGTAATTCAACACTTTGATGAGCTTTTTGTTCCCAGATGATTTTTAGCTTTGTTACTCATAGCCCAAAGATCAACAGAACTGTTGGATATACAAGACTGTTTAGTATAAGAGTTATTTAGTGATCTAATATTTAATGATTATTTAGTTTTCATAACAAGTGTGTTAAAGGTTGATTATTTTAAAGGCAATAGTTATGACATGTTTGGTTACATAACTTGGTAAGTTGTACATAGTGTGTGTAGTTCAATTGTTGTACCAGGCTTTAGTAATATTGTTGATGTTGATATTGTTAATACTGTATTGAAGCTTCCAAGTTTTTCTCACAACGTGCAATATTGTTGCCCTAAAGATTTCTAGATATTTTTGCTGCATGTTATAAATATGTGCAGATACAGGAAGAAGTAAGGTCACAGTACATTATGTTGGTGAAAGTAAAATTAGACTATCTGATTGTTAGTTTAGCCGTACTAGGTGATATTTAAAGTGAGTTTCACAGTTTAATAGAGATAAGGAGAATAATTTGTCTTGTCAAAGGGTGTTCTAAAGTAATTGAACCCATCTATGTGGACTTTGACGAAAAGAAGACAATTATCTAAAGTTCTGTATTTACATGTGGCAGATTGTGCAGTAATAAACAGAGTTGAGAAAAATAATTCGTCTTGTCAATTGGGTTCTAAAGTATCTGAACCAGCCTGTGTGGACTTTTGACAAGAAAGATAATTGTTTAAAGCTTTACGTATAACTGTGATATCCTATAGTGTAAAGAATTCGTGTACATACGTTTGTTTTGCACTGAATAAATTATTTTAAAACAAGTGGATTGTGTGCTGTCCATTTATTGTTGACAGTTATTTCCAACAAGTCACATACACCTACTAAAAGAATCCCAGCCCATATTCATAACCTCAAAAGAACAATAAATTTAATGACAATAGATGTAAACTGTTATGACCCTGAGGCTGTTTATGATAAGTAACTAATTTTCTCTTACAATCCACAGCCTTTCTAAAAAGGACCAAGGGTAATTTAGATTTATTTGGTATCTAAATTTAATATATCTGGAAAAATGATTACATATTGTTGGAACTTGAAATATACCAAAACTTTACAAAATGTTTATGACAAGGTGCATAGTTCTGTACAACAATGTGGCAGTAGCCTTATCGACACACCTCGTACATATGTTAATGAAATCTAACTATGTAATACGGTTTTAACTAAATTTTCTTTATATACAAGACAATAAAACACTGTAAACTATCACCAGTGCTCTAATGGTGAATTTTTTTATGACAACAACCAAACAAAACTAGTAGTTTTTAAATCACTCTTTTCCAATCACGAGAAGCCAGTAAAATCCAATAAGTGTGAAAACAAATGACAATTGGTTCACCCTCTTACCTGCAGAAGCTTCGAACTGCTCTAACAAACTGTTCATGTCTGTGGCTTCAAGGGCTATAAAAATCAAAGTATCACAGATGTTTGATACAAGTCTTCAACATTAGTAATTACATTTTAATTAGATTTATCTTAAAACACATATTACTATTAACAGAACTAAAGTTCTCAATAGTTAAGAGATACGTATAAAGTCTTGAGCACAATCCCTTTCTGAAATGTACAGCTTATGGTCTTTGTTACTGCAACAGGTTGAAACAATCCAGCCAATATAATAGTAACAGCAAAGATCTTAATAAAGAAACCCCCCTCCAAGTTTGTCTATGCGATAACAGTAAATGAACAAGAATGATTCATAAGCACAATGAAAATTATTTTATGTTCAGAACACTGGTCTGTGTTCAGGTATGATATACAGCTAAATATACAAAATCAATATATACAAAGTAAAAAAAAGTGAAGGGTTTATGTCATACAGAGATGTTTTCACATGATAACAATGAAACTTACAACAGGTTTATAACCAGCCGATCTTTTTCATTTAATACATGAACCCATTGTAAATTTCACTGGTATTATGTAAGAGTAATCACATGGTCAGAAGATTCCAGATTCACCATATTCTGCAATAATGAAATGGCCACAATATGAAGGAAACCTCACAAGAGACAGATTGAAAGTTGTATTGTACATACAGTTAAGGTTACAAGTGAAGGTGTGGTGAATATTCTTCTGACAGATCCTCCCTCCCCCCTAACAGTTCAAACACTGAATCTAAATCCCATTGCAAATTTCTGTGCGGAGTTGGAACATTAGATTTAATGTCAACATCTTCCACTGACGTTAGGCCAGATATGGGCTTAAATTATTGGATATCTGGTCATTATTCTTCAAAATGTATTCTTAGATCATGTCATTGATAATCTGTATCATCAGTAACATGGGTCAGATACTAAAGGAGTTCCCAGTAGTGGTCAAATGTATAGTTACCAAATAGGTTTTAGTTAACACAAAAAAGTGCCTTATTAAAAATAGCCAATGAGTTAACCTAACTGTTCATTTGGTAATTTCTGTAATTTTGTTGGACAACCGGGGAAGTTGAATCGCAAGATGTTTTGTTCAGTAAAATGGGGCTGAAATATAATTCAAGACAATAACACTGATGAATGAACTCCCAAGAACATAATTGTTTTTTACTAATAACAGATTGTGGGTTGAAAATTTATGTCAGTCGACAAAATCTCAGAAGTACTAGGTACTGGAGAAGATACATTTTAATTTCCTACCCAGCAAAGAACAAAGATACACACTCACCCATCATAACATCAATAGCATATGAGACAGTTTTAAAATAACATAAGCACCATTTTTAGTAAATATGTTACAAATCAAATACACCTTATTAAAAACATCTTTTGTGCTATGTACCTGGTTTTGGGAGATTTAAAAATTCTGTACTTTGGCAGTTTTCCAAGGTATTCTGTTCTAGATGGGTTGAAAGATTTTTCAAGGCATTTAATTGAATTACATGCTTGCTAAACCAAACTTTTGTAACAGGATTACAGCGAGCTGCTGAGCAATCATCATTAAGAAGTTTTGCTCGGCAACTGTCTTTATCATCTTCATCCACGGTAACAACATCTATCTCTTCATCTGACTCGCTACCTTCGAAACCCGTGTTAGACAAATCACTACAGGTTCTCAGTGATGAAATGGCAGGCCCAGGATCAGGGGGTTTCTTCTGACTGTAATCGGTGAACTTGTAATGCTGGAAAAGATTAGCTATTGACTCTTTGGTCTCATCAAAAGGTGTAGCTCTTGTGTCTTGTTTCTTCAAAAGTTTTGAATTGCTAGTTGTAGGAAGATCATGGTAATGAGGTGAAAGTAATGTTTGCCAATCTTCATCATCTTCCAGTAATGGTCCACTGAGTAAGTTTAGATGGTCTGGTAATAGCTTTGAGAGCTTCAAATATTCTGATGGCTCCTGATGCTTGGGGTATTTTTGTGGTGACATCTGAAGTGCATTAACTAAGTCTGACTAGAAATTAAAAATATAATCTGAGTTAACAATTATATCAAATCTTCTTAATATAACATTCTTATTTTTAATAAACAAAAAGAAATACAATATTTAAGGTCACAAAGTCTCAATTTGTTAAATGTAATGCAAAAATAAACAACACGTGCAAAGATAGTTTCAGTCTAAAATATGCAAAAACAAGTGTCATCAAATGCACATTTCAGAACCCACGAATTTTATGTTACAATAATCCTATGTTTCTATTCAATATTCTTAGTAAATATCTATGACCTTTCATTATCTTTATAAATTCAGAGAATTAAATGGCTAGCCAAAAAAAGTACATTTTTGTGAAATGTTTTATTTTTAGGAAAATTTATAAAACATCATGCAGTATTCTCTATTAAATATTGTATTAAACAATAAAAGATTCAATGAAAAATCAGAGTAACCTAGTGGTGGATTTACAAATTAAAGGATGAATTTAAATCCAAGTTCGCTTTTAAATTAATATTAAAATCAACCATAATATAATAAATAATGAAATATGCTTTTAACAAAGAAATACTTATAAAGTATTCTGAAGAAATACAAAAAAAACAAGAACTAATAACTAGTCAACTCATTTGACAAAATCTGTTGCATGATTTTATTGAAATTTATTTAAAATATCAGAATATATTTAATGAATATTTAATGTGGATTTTTAATAATAGTTGTTTACAGGCAGTAAAAAACAACAAATTATGTCATTAACATAAATAAGGATATATATATATATATATAAAACATACAAACGTACATATATAAGAGAGACTACTTTTTTTATGAAATTGTTAATACACACAAATATTGGAGATCCTGTTATTACATATGTATGTGCAGTTAACTTTCTCAATAGTCTATGTACTTGTAAACAACATCTAAACATAAAGAAGTTTGAAAGTTTTGTAAAACAGTGGAGAAAATAAGAGTGTGTTTTCAATTAAACTATTACCCATTTTGTAATTCTTTCAGAGCACACCTCAGGTAACAGGGTGCTCATGTCACAAATGAAATCTTGTAATTCAGGGTCTCCCTCTGGTGTTAAATGCTGATAAAAAAAATAAACAATCTGATGTAAAAATCTGAAAATCATTCAATGGGGCTGAAAAATAATTCTAGACGATAACATTGATGAATGAACTTCCAGGAACATAAGCTTTTTTATCACATCTGTTGAAATACAAATGGAAGTAAACGAAGATTATAGCCGACTGACTTTTTTTTTCAAAATGGAAACTTAAACAATACCAGTCATTAAATAAGATTATAAAACCTAAAAAGATGTTTCATGCTTATATAGTAAACTACCTTCACATGTAAATAAACTGAACATTTTTATATTTCACACTCTATATCCAAAATGAAAATATACACACAATTTTACTAGTCACATGAAACTGTTGTTCGTATTCAATATATATGTGACACCAATTTTACCTTGAACAGCATACAAGATCCATTTCTCTTTTTTGAAAGTATAAATAAATAACTACTTAAGTTAGTTTTATTTCTTACACAACTCTTTTATTATTACAGGTAAGTATTTTACTTTGAAACATATATGCTTTCAACAACAACAACTGTGTATTAATTCTTTTTTTTTCATACCTATTGCTTATAAGCACAAATGTATCTGAAAGAATTTGCTACCATTATTATATTGTGTTACACCAAAGGAACATATCTTTATGATCCAGATCTTGTGAGTGGAACAGAAGGAAAATTAAAATAATAATATATATGAATAATGAACCAAAAGTTACAATCTGCTAAATCTTAATCTGAGCTTAAACATCTGTTGTTTGTGAGTAATAAACCAGCAATTACAATTTAAACAGAGCTCCAAGCATCTGCAATGATTTGAGATGATCCCCAGTAATCCAAATAGGATATTCTTCCAGAACAAAAAAGTCTACTTTTGGCTGCTCAGTAAGATTAAAAATGTAATACAAGTTGGTAATACATGCCTGCTTTCCTCCTTAGTTAAAAAAAAAAAGTAATTTTTTTTTAAATTATTGTGGTTTTCAGAGTTTCCACTAAGGACATGAAGATTTGCTCAACTAACATTTTAACTTTGCTTGTTTTAAGAGCATAAAAGATGTGGGTTCGCTAACTAGCAATTAGCCACATTTCTTGCAGGGGACTAATAAGTGATATCCAGAAATAGAAATCAGCCATGCCCTAGAACTTAAATTCACTGTGAACAAAAATTATGATTGTGGGATTTGTTAGTGTGCAAACCTGGCTTTGTTAGTTCTTTTATTTGTGAATATGAATTCATGTTTGCCCCTGTCATTTGTAGTTATATTTACAGCTTCATTCACTCAGGACAATATGAGTAAACTCTGGCAGTTTTCATAGTTTATAAGAGTAACTTTTACTGCATTTTTTTAGTAACCACAACTTTTGTAACCTTTTCACAGTACAGTATTTAACTTTAACTTGAGAGTTTTGTTGGACTGATTTGTATTGGTTATTTTCTGTAAAAGCTGGGAGTCGTAGCTTAACTTGCACAAAGGACACACCAAGCTGAAAAGAGCTTTTGAATAAGTTCTTCACCTCATCTGTATCAGTTTGACATGTACCACTAAACACCTGCCTCTTTTTGTTTTTCTAATTACATTGTTTTGTAGGTTAAATAAACATTTTTTGTCCATGTGCACCTTTCTGTTTTGTCTCCTTCTTCCAGTCAATCACAACTGGAGATAGGAAGGATAATTAGTCACACTCCATTAGTCTGGTATCTTCCAGTTAGTGAACCTAACTCTCTGCTCTGTGAGAGGAACCATTCTACAAGAAATACCTCAAATGGAACAAATAAAAGTACCGATTCTGACCAAGTACCAGACAAAGGAAGCAAAATGGAAAGATGAAAACTTTCTGGTTGTCTCGACATGAATTACTACCAGAAGTAAAACAAAAAGCTAGAACCTCAAATGCAAATGATGCAGGAAATAAGCTTTTTTAATATAAGCTGAAAATTTCAGATTGGGTGGAAGTAACAGCAATGAGTACCTTATAAAGAATAAATTACAGGCAAAGGAACACTGTAAGGTAATTGTTTTTTTAGTACTCACTACAAGAATCATAAGAATGAGGGCAGCTGATATTCAGAAGAAAGTTTCCAAATAAAAATATTATAGCATGTAGGGTAGGAAACTGACAACAGGTCAAGTAGGAGACCATGCTTTTAGAAGACCCCCCCCCCCCAAGAAAAAACGTTTGAGGTTCAAGTAAGAAGAATTGAGCAAAACAGTAGTGAACCAAAAATCAGAAGGTTAAAAATATAAAGATTAGAAAAAGAATCATTCAACATGACAAAAAATAGTTCAAGACTTAAAATAGAACATACCCAAGGAAATAGAAATCACACCAGCAGAAGACCCTGCTTCAAAATTAGAGCTAGCTGACAAATTCTGATAATTAAGGTCAATAGGCATAACAAAAAATCATTTAATTATTATTTTAAGAATTAAAAAAACATGAATGTTCCACCACTGAGTAACCCCATGAATGTGAAAACGTGCCAGGGGCACCAGCAAGCAATACGGAAGTAACACTTGAGTACATTTATCAATAAGGACCGACAATACTACCAGAAGACCTCTGCACGTTAGAGGAAGTCTATATGAGTAAGGACTCCAGAGAAGTTTTAAAACTTCTACTACTGGTGGAAACATTCACGGAAGTGAATAATGTGACAAAATAATTCATAGTGAGTGAAGTTAACAGCACAACAAGAAAACCTGATTTATGGTGGGAAAGCAGAGCTTACTGATAAATATTCAATAACTTGGGTGGAAGATGGAAGATTGGGAATTTATGGGTATGTGACACATGCTTTGCAATGCCTTAAGAACATTCAGAATTTTGAGTCATGTTTGTTGACAGCATGAGAGTAAACTCAACAAGGAAAAGCCTACAATATATCAAAGGTAAGACTACCTGACTTGAAAACAACAGACACAAACTGCACATAGCTATCCATATTAGGAAGAAAACTTTAAACAGAAATATGTAGTCTGTTTCTTTTTTTTCTTTTTTTTGAGATAATTAAATGTAAAAAAAGTAAATTTAAATTACTGAATAAGGATGATGGAAATGTTGTCAACAGATGGCGTGAAATTCTTTAATATGTAAATTGGTGTTTTGATAACTGTATAAATAAGTGTTATTTTTGCAAAACATTACACTCCTGAGGATGGCACAGTAGTATATACGTTGAAACATGTAGAGTGTATTATATTGTTTTCCAGTTTCATCAGGGTTTTTTACCACTTTTTATCCTGTACAGTAAGTTATTGTATTTTAATAATTTGGAGACTGGAAACAATCTCATTTTTATAGAATTGTGTATGAAATAATAATTATTTGAAAATTGTGAGTTTTTAAGTCTGTTTGTTATTTGAATAAGAGTCGACCAACCAGTACTGGGGAGCAACAGCCCAACAAAACTGCAGATTATGAAAGTTGCAATACACTGTGCTTAAAAGTGATAAGTAGGCTTAAACTAATATCAAGTTTTCTTCCTTACTAAGTATACTATTCATATTGGTAACTTGGCATGCACTGATAGTAAATCACTTTCCAACACATACATGGCATTACACACAACTTTTGTACTTAACTGTGACTAATTCTGAAAATCAAGCTCTATTCAACCCACGTGAGGATACAAAAACAGAAGTAATCTCAAAACTATATGATCCAAGTCTATGTATCTACGATTAGATATAACAAAATGTCATTTATAAACGTTTTTATTAAACTAAAATACATAAAGTAGGTTATCAACTTTTATAATAATAGTCACTTCAAATAACACATTTTTTAATAGCCACTTCAAATAACTCATCTTTTTTGAAAGATCAAACAACTAATGTTCATTTTTCTTTTTCTTAACACAGTTCAGAAAACTATATATTGGTAATTCCACATAAAGATTTCAGTTTTCATTAATAACACACATTCAACATAGTAATGATTTTCAAACGAGACCCAAAACTCGAGCGTTTTGAATAGTCCACTATTCTTCTTCAGCAGAATAAAGCATTTAGGTTTTGGGTCTCGTTTGAAAAACCATTACAACTTTTGTAAGTGATCCTGTGTGCTAACTTCTTAATCAGAATTTTCTCATTCAACAGTTTTTTAAGCAACCCAAAATACTATTTTGAAAAAAGAAAAAAGGTATGTTTTTCCTTGAATGATAGATTAACTATTTATACACCAAGACATTATGTGTTAATAGCCATAAATAAAAATAATACAAAATGGTGTTGGCTACATTAGTTATATATATTACAGAAGTTCAATTTACTTGACAATATTCTCCTTAAGATAAATGTGTTTTCAAACTTATATACATACAAATTTTGTAAAATACATAAAAAAGTCTATTAATTGTGATATACATGAAGAACCTTTTTAATCACTATACACAACATTAAATTCAAGTTATAACAAAAATCTTCCAGCAAACAAACTCAAACAAAGAGTAAAATGTTAAACTTTCTTCTAAAAAAATAATATTTCATCAGAAATTGAATGAATAAAACTATAAGAAACGTGTAAAAATTGTAAGAATTTACGAAGGGTTTTTAGCTTTTCACAACAGAATTACAAAACCTTCAATCAAAAACTTCAATTCTGCACAAAACATGCAGAGGTTTTTAAATTTAAGTGAAGTGTACCATCATGCTTGAAATGGTGTTTAATAGCTAAATTAGTAAGCATGAATTTAAGAACTTCAATTTCCAAACAAGGTTTAATTAGTATTTAAAATTGAGATACTAATTAGCTGTAAATGTAAGAATACAAATGAAAATTATATGTAATTCTATACTTTGACTTTTATTATAACAAATTAAACATTAAAAGGGTATATGTATAACACTTATTTTTATGTAACACACACAGTAACATTTCACATATACCAACAAACTATGAAGTTAGCATGACACTGTAAGTAGAATATACCTTCGGTAATAAATTGAACACCTTCAATATCTTTATAGGCAAGTTACAAGTCAAACTTTTACAACTGAAATA